CGCGCCGCAGGCCGAGCTTCCCGCCCCCGCGCAGGGCTCTGCCTTGGCGGAGCAGGTCAGCGACCCGCCTGCCGATGGCCCGGCTCATGCGTCGGCAGAGGAGACTGGCGGACCCGAGGGCAGCGCGGCCGAGGCCGAGCCGCGCGTGGTGGAGAACGGCGAGGCGGATGAGCCCTCCTTCAGCGACCCCGAGGACTTCGTGGACGACGTGAGCGAGGAAGGTGAGGCGCGTGAGCATGGCGGAACCTTCTGGCTGGTTCCCCTGCCTGGGCACAAATCCGGTGAGGGTGTGCTCGAAATTCAGCCAGACCGGGAGGGGTGCCCTCCTGCAGCTGCTGTTGCTGCGTGCAGCGGGTGTCTGGACCCTGCTCTCTCCTCTCCAGACGAGGGTCAGAGAGCTCTTAGGAGCTCGGTGTGAATGAGTAGTACCAGCTGGGGGGCAGAGCCTAGCAGAATGCACCCATTTCCGGGCCCAGGACCCTGGAGCTGACCAACCAGATCTGAGCCGGCCGAAACGAAGGGATAGGTGCTGCAGAACTTGGTGCAGTGTTGTTCTATTAATTCCTTAATAGAACAGTGCCAGGCAGAACCTGCCAAGTTCTCATCTTCTTTTTTTAAGTCTACAGAGCAGACCATTACTTTTTCAGATTTAATGGCATTTAAATATTTTTAAGCGGCTCTCAGTTACTGTCATCATTGTTTTACAGTTTTTTGATATAAAAATATTTTAGCATGAGGAGCAGAGTAAACACCACGTACTATGATATAAAGACTGTGAGCATCTATTCTGCCACTTTTCCCTGAGGAAGTGTTTCCCTTCAGGTAAACTAGGTTACTAGGATTAATTATAACCGGACTCTTTGTCCAGACCTGTGATTTCTTTAACACCCCAACCCCCCCCCCAATATTCTTATTTATTTATTATGTGGTGTTGAGGATCAAACCCATTGCCATCAAGCGTGGAAGCTCCACCTCTAAGCTACAACCCCAGCCTCTAACACACCAGTTTTGTTTTTAATTTTTCTTAGTTATACATGGAAACAATATCTTTATTTTGTTTATTTTTATGTAGTGCTGAGGATTGAACCCAGTGCCTCACATGGGCAAGGCAAATGCTAGGCCACTGAGCCACAATCCTAGCCCTGTTTTGTTTTTTAATCTAACTTTTGTTTATAGGCTCATTTTGAACCCTTGGCTATTTATTTTGCAGTTGAGTTTTTAAAAAATCATTCTTTAAGACCACCACTCACAGGGGTCTTAAAGGAGGGGTGTGTGTGCGCGCGCGTGGGCGTGCCTACGCCCCCTAACATCATAAGGTCAACCAGGCTGGGTAAAATCCTAGTGGGTTTCTGGGAGCCTGTATGATCCTGATGTTGCAATGTGGTCCATAGGGAAGGGAGGCTGCTTGGTCCTGAGGAGCTATGTATTTTTTAGTGTATGTGTTCTTTAAAAAAAAAAAAAAAATATATATATATATATATGTGTGTGTGTGTGTATATTTATGTTTGGTGTTGGTGCTATACCACTGAGCCACCCCCCTCCCCCAGTCTTAAGGCCGTAGACTGGGAAGGTAAGACCATAGAAGCATCTCCCTTTAAAAAAAATGGACTGTTTTTAGGAGGAGTAGTGCAGAGTTCTTTTTCTTTTTGAGACAGGGTCTCCTAAGTTGCCCAGACTGCCCTTGAATTTGGGATCCTCCTGCTTCTGCCTCCTGGATAGCTGGAATGACAGGCCTGTGCCTCAGCTGCAACACTGTTCCACAGTCACATTTTAATCTTTTTAAAAAATTAATCATTTTTTAATTTATGTTTTGGTGTTGAGGATTAAACCCAGGGGTGCTCAACCACTGAGTCATATCGCCAGCCCTTTTTCACTCTATAGAGACAGGGTCTCACTAAGTCACTTGCCGTCCTTCCCAGCCACTGGGATTATAGGCATGTGCCATCACACCTGGCTCATTCTTTAATTTTCATCTTCCATTCTGGCTAAAATTTGAGCCGCCTCTAGAGTTTGGCCATACAAAAATGTGAACAAAATCTCTTAACTTCTATTGTCATCTTCTTTGGTTCATGAAATATTATTTACCTGTATATTTGCTATTTAGTTTTGAAAATTGTTTCTTTTTTTCTGGAGCCAGATGGGGAATCTAAGAGCCAGGAGTAACCCAACAGTGATCAAGAGAGGTCTCCCATTGTGAAGTTACTGCATTTATTCCCTTCCTAAATACGGGCAGATTCTTATAGACTAGGTAGATGCTTTGAGCTTGTGGGAAGGAGGCATAGTTTGTAAAAGCTGAGGTTTTTATTATAAGCCTTGTAAGTTCAGATCCGGCTTAACAGGCCTCCTAATTGTATGGTGAGCATTGCTTTAAAAATAACCCAGAGATTTTACTACAGTGTCTTTTTTTTTTTTTTTTAATTATTGCCATTTTAGGGCTGGAGCTGTGGCTCAGTTGGTAGAGTGCTTGCCTGGCATGTGTGAGGCCCTTGATTCAATCCTCAGCACTGCATTTAAATAAATAAATAGATAAATGATAAAAGATCCATTGACAACTGAAAAATATTTTAAAAATTATTGCCATTTTTATATTTATTCTCAGTGGTCTTTTTAATTCTGTTTTGAAACCATGATTGTGCTTGGTTCCACTACAGTTTCTACAGTGAAGATTTTTGAGATGCTGTTTCTCTGAGCTGCCTCTTTTCAGCTTTTTTTCCTTTTTGACTAGTCTTCATTTTTGAAATTCAGGTGGTGATTATTTTGGGGCCAGGGGTTGGTGGGAGGATACTGGGAATTGAACCTGGGTCCTGTGTGTGCTCTCACTGAGCTTCACACCCCCCATCAATTACTTTAACTTTTTTTGTGGAAAATTTAAAACATATACAGAAGCTGAGAGAATTCACCTTTAGCTTTTGAGAATGGAATGGAATATTTTATGACATCTGTCACTTTTAGCATGTTGAAATTCTTTTTCTGTGGGGTTACCAGGAATTGAACTCAGGGGCATTCAACCACTACACCACATCCCCGGTCCTATTTTATATTTTTTAAATTTAGAGACAGGGTCTCATTGAGTTGCTTAGTGCCTCACTTTTGCTGAGGCTGCTTTTTGAACCTCAGCCTCCTGAGCTGCTGGGATTATAGGTGTGCACCACTGTACCTAACTAGCATGTTGAGATTCTTGAGTATAATAATGAATTAGGGTATAGTGTTCAAACAACTGGAAATATGTATAAGAAGCCATTCTTCAATGATGTTTAAAATTACCTGGTAATCTCATTTTGACTGTATTTGCTGATGTGGTTTCATGTGATGAGTATGCTTTGATAGCAGCTTTAAAAGGTATCTTTATTTTCTAGCTCTTAGTAATTTACTACTTTTCAGGCACTCTACATAGGTTTAGTGCTTATATAGAATGCATATTAAAAATGTAGAATTTGGGCTGGGGATATAGCTCAGTGGTAGAGCCCTTACCTTCGGTTCAATCCCTAGGACCACAAAAAATAAATTTAAAAAATATGGGATTGGGCTGGGGATGTGGCTCAAGCGGTAGCGCGCTCGCCTGGCATGCGTGCGGCCCGGGTTCGATCCTCAGCACCACATACCAACAAAGATGTTGTGTCCGCCGAGAACTAAAAAATAAATATTAAAAAAAAAATTCTCTCTTTCTCTTAATCTCTCTCCTCTCTCACTCTCTCTTAAAAAAAATAAAAAATAAATAAAAAATATGGGATTTACTTTATTCCATCTGATACTCAGTTTTACTTCCCTTGTGCCCATCTCCAGCTGGAGGTCAGATATTTTTATTGATGCTGGAGCTTTATGGTCCAAAGGGCTCAGGACCAGAGACAAGAATCACACAAAATAACAGTTGGCAGTGCCCCAGGGTCATTGTGTCACCCACCAGTATGTGGGCTCCAGGCTGCTTTCTGGGACCTGTTTATTTCTCTCTTTGTTTTTTGGCCCTAATACTTTTTACACTCATTTTCTCTTCCGTTTCTTTTATTCTAGCTGGCCTTTTTATGGAAATGACAGTTCTTCAGCAGAAGTTTGAGAACTGAAGTTTTGGGGTTTAAATGCCTGTCTGCCTTAGTACTGTCTTCCAAGAGCCTATTGATATTGAAATAATAGGAAGTAGCATTTACTTTTACTCTCTGCCCTTGGTTCCTGGCATACAACTCTTAATAACCTTGGGATTGCCAATATATTTTTTGTATGCTATTAGGTGACTACTGGCTGGAGATTCCTGAGTAACTTTGAGGTGAGGATGCTGGTTGCTAGAGGAACAAACTATGTAATCATAGGGAGAAGGGCTGAAGGTTGAGTCCATTACTAGTGGCCAGTGACTTAAATCAGTCATGCAACATAAAGTGTTTTTTGGATTCTATGACAGCTCTAGCAGATAGTGCCTGGTGGTGGGCTGTGACTGGAGAGGCAAGATAGGCTTATCGAAACAGTCCCTGGCCTGTCTCCTTGTTGGATTCCCTGGTCTAAGACTGGATAGCTCACCTGCACAGGATAGTAGGCGCTGGTCTGGAACTGGAGGGTGGGAGGAAAGTGGGTGTTCTCCACACATTTATTTCTCTTTTTAATTATTCTCTTAGTTCACTAAAAAGATATTTCTTCCTCCCTAAATTTTCTAGTAATTTGTATTAACTAAAACAAAAGTATTGTGAATATTTCTAGCATCTCAATATTTGCGTATTTGCTAAACTCTAACATGAAAAACTTACTTTAGTGTCCTGCGTTGTTGACATTGTCATGGAATTTTGCCCAGTTATTGCTAGAAACCTTTTGAAATCTAGGGATCTAGTATTTGGTCTTCAAGTGTTCTGCCTTGTTTGCATTTTGCATTATTAAAAATTTTTTAAATTACTTTCAAGTCTTCATTATTGCCAGAATCAGAGGATAGATCTTGACTGTTTATAGTATGTACAGTTTTCTTGATTCTTCCATGTTTAAGTTTTTTTTTTGTTGTTGTTGTTGTTGTTTTTTGGTACCAGAGATTCAACACAGGGGTGCTCGACCACTGATCCACATCCCTAGCCCTATTTTGCATTTTATTTAGAGATAGGGTCTCAAGAGTTGCTTAGTGCCTCGCTTTTTGCTGAGGCTGGCTTTAAACTCTCCATCCTCCTGTCTCAGCCTTCTGAGCTGCTGGGATTATAGACATGAGCCACCAGGACTGGCTCATGTTTAAATCTTGAAGCGAACTGGGTCATGATTTCCTGTGTCATAGTAAAAGCATTTAAATTAGATCATTGATCCCCCTCCCCAAACTTGGCAGTCTTTTTAGTAAGCTAATGTATTTTTTGGTTTCAGAAAGTCATTTGACAATTCTTTTACTCACACAGAATTACTTGGTGATGTACTCAAAGATCGTCCCCAGGAAGCAGATGGAATCGATTCGGTGATTGTAGTGGACAATGTTCCTCAGGTGGGGCCTGACCGACTTGAGAAGCTCAAAAATGTCATCCACAAGATCTTTTCCAAGTTTGGGAAAATCACAAATGATTATTATCCTGAAGAGGATGGAAAGACAAAAGGGTAAGTCTGCACTCCTATCATTGAAATGCCATGTGTGTATTTTGGTGTCCACATGATTATAACCTGTTGTGGGAACTCACTGTGAATGCATGCTGCAATAGTGGGCATTCATTTATTTAGGCCACCCCCAGTTGGAAACTCTCAGAAGCTGGATTTTGGTCCTGGGGTCATCATGGAGGTAGAATGAACAAGGTGTCTATTGTGTTGGCTGCTGCCTTGGGAAGAGTCAGAGTCTGATGAGCTTGAAATTGTCCCCCACAGTAGTAACAGGGATAAGGGTTTGGCTGATCTGGATGCTGGCAGAGTGTCAAGAAAATTTTACATGTGGAGTTTTATGCTGATATCCTTTTATCCTACATTTTAATTTTTTTAAAGTTTTAGATGGACACAATACCTTCATTTATTTTTATGTGGTGCTGAGGATCGAACCCAGTGCCTCATGTGCCAGGCAAGTGCTCTGGCACTGAGCTACAACCCCAGCCTCTTATTCCACATTTAACATCTCTGAAATGGGGTGCTTCTTGCAATCTAGGTGAAATTGTTGCGTCTCTGCTTAATTAGCATTTATTAGTGTTACCAAAAAGTGGTATTTTTAAAAAAAATAACGGTAGTGCAATTGCTTTTTCTGTTCAGAAGTAGATCTTTCACGTTGATAAGTTATATTCTGATTCCTTTATGTTGTTTTTTATGTTGATGGGGCTAGAACCCAAGCCTTAAAGCACATTAGGTTAACACTGTGGGACTGACCTAGTCCTCCATATTGGCAAATTTTAAACATTGTGATACTGTTTTCTATTATGACTTTTCCTGTTTTTTTTAACACAGTGTTTTACCATTATAAAAGTCCCCTACCTGTAATCTGTGCAAGTGTGTGCCTCTCTGTTATACCCAGGAGTCAAGATTGTTGAGCTGTACAGAGTGCTTGCCCATGGTGCACTGGGTGATGTGCTGTGTATGGTCCAGTGTCTGCTGCCAACAGTTTTGGGTAGTTTGTTTACTGCCTCCCAGTCTTGTCAGAGCTTCTCCGTTAGTCTTTCATGTAAATGCCAGCTTTTGAGAGCACAGTCATCTCATGGGAATGAGAAGATGATAAAGTTGTTTTTAAGTAAAGTTTTGAAGTTTTTAAAACTACCTAGGATAGTTTGGTTCTGGAAAAAATATCCAGTAGAGGTGGTGCTGCTGACGTTTTACATTTTGGGAAGTAGGTTGAAGGATGACTTTTTTGACCAGGAGTTGCTGTGCTACAAGTTTTCTTAAAATGAACATCCTCTGAGGTCCTTTGTAACTTTGCATTTCATACATAATAGTAGACTTTAAAAAAAAATTGTAGTTGTAGATGGACAGACTGCCTTTATTTTTTTGTGTGCGTGGTGCTGAGGATCAAACGCTAGGCAAGTGCTCTGCCACTGAGCTACAGCCCCAGCCTAATAGTAGACTTTTTTAACAGCTTTACTGAGATAGTTTATATCTAGTAAACCTACATCATTTTAAAGTATAAGATTTGGTAAGTTTTGACATAGCTGTACACATCATGACATCACCAAATGTTTCCTATATTCTTATTATCGTGTCTATAGCTTATAACCCCTAAAGTAGAAACTTTGAATCCTCTAGTTAGAATTTTCATTCTTCTTTGGGAAACTACTTGGCCTGTCAGTTGTACTTGGTTCTTGTTTGACTGCCTAGTGTTTTTTTATTTTTTAATTTTTTTTTTTACTGGGAATTGAATCCAGGGATGCTTTACCACTGAGCTACATCCCAGCTCTTTTTATTTTTTCAGTTTGAAACAGGGTCTTGCTAAGTTACTGAGGGCCTCACTATGTTGCTGCCTTCAAACTTGTGATCTTCCTCCTTTAGTCTTCCTAGTTGCTTGTGCCACAGTGTATGACTATAAAAGAGTGCACAAACTGAAATTGCTCTCTTTCACACTTCAGGTATATCTTCCTGGAATATGCGTCTCCTGCCCATGCTGTGGATGCTGTAAAAAACGCTGATGGTTATAAGCTTGATAAGCAGCACACATTCCGGGTTAACCTCTTCACCGATTTTGACAAGTAAGTTTAGACTTGACTGGGGGACATGGACATTGGTATGTGCTAGTGTGTGAGTGGTTACCCTTCCTCAGTGGGTGCTACTGCCTTTCAGACCATAGATGTCTTGTTGGTCAAACAAAATGACAGTCATGAGTCTCGGCCCCATGCTCTTGTCCAGCAGCTCCCCTAACCAGTCCTAATGCTAGCAGACACTTAATTCCTTCCCTACCTCTGGTGTGGGTTGGGAGGGGTGCAGCACTGCCTGGGCTTGCACTGTGTTCTCTAACCCTACCCAGTCGTCAGTGTGTGGTGCTCAGCAGTGTCTGTTCTTCAGGTATATGACGATCAGTGATGAATGGGATATTCCAGAGAAACAGCCTTTCAAAGACCTGGTAAGTTGTATAAAACCCATATCTAAATAGTTAAAAGGAATGCTGGATATTTTGATTTGAAGTTAGTTTTTCCTTGGCAGTTAAAGATGTTCACAGAGTTTGTTCTCTCTCTAGGAGTTAGAGTTATAAATGATATTTTTTCTTTGATTAAAAGTAATGCACCAGGGGTTGGGATTGTGGCCCAATTCTCAGCACTGCATATAAACAAATAAATAAATAAAGGTTCATCAATAACTAATAAAACATTTTAAAAAAAGTAATGCACTGTTATTAAATCCCTCCTTTTTTTTTTTTTTTTTTTTTAAGGGAAACTTACGTTACTGGCTGGAAGAGGCAGAATGTAGAGATCAATACAGTGTGATTTTTGAGAGTGGAGACCGGACTTCAATATTCTGGAATGATGTGAAGGACCCTGTCTCAATTGAAGAAAGAGCGGTGTGTATTTGCAGCCCATGGGTCGGTAGTTATTTTGCAATTCCTTAACAAAGTAGAACTTTGTTTCCATTAGAAAGTAACAAAAGAGCTAGGTGCAATGGAGTACATCGGTAATCTCAGGAGGCTCAAGAGACTGAAGCAGGAGGATTACAAATTCAAAGCCACCCTCAGCAACCTAGGGAGACACTTTCTTTTAAAAAAAAAAAAAAAATGAAAATAAGAGCTAGGGATGTGGCCAAATACTTGAGCACCCCGAAGTCAAATTCCAAGTACTGTGGAATACATCGGTAATCTCAGGAGGCTCAAGAGACTGAAGCAGGAGGATTACAAATTCAAAGCCACCCTCAGCAACCTAGGGAGACACTTTCTTTTAAA